AGTAGTAGTAGTAGTAGTAGTAGTAGTAGTAGTAGTAGTAGTAGTAGTAGTAGAAGCTTTTTCCAAAACCTGCGATGACTTCGGCCTATTTATTTCCACCAAGAAGACTGAAGAGCCGCACTACTCAGCCCCAACAGCTTCACTTACAGAGCCCACAGTTATAATCAACGGCCACAGACTGGCAGTAGCAGGTACGTTTGTCCTTTTTCAGTAGACCATCACGATGGGTTAATGTCGACGAGGAAGCGGCCTAAAGAAACACTAGAGCGAGCACAGCCTTCTGCAGACTAAAGGGCAAGGTATGAGAGCGAGGACAACTGAGCCTTTTGACACAAGGCTTATAGTATATAAAATAAGTCGTTCTGATCTACACCAGCGAAACGAGGACTGCTTACGCCGGCATGCCAAACAGGTCAGTACCTTCCAGACCATATGTCCCAGGACCCTACTCCGTGGCAAGTGGCACAACAGAGTCACGGACACTGAGATGCTTCAGCGGGCCGAGACGGAGAGCTTTTACCTCATCCTGCTGCAGTCCCAGCTCTAGGTTGACTGGCTACGTTCACTGTTTGGACTACTTTCGCTTCCCAAAAAGGCTGTCTATGATGAGGTGATTTCAAGCAAATACTCTTTCGCCGGACAGGAAACTTAAAAGCTATAAAGATTAGCTTAAGGCATCCCCAAAGCTATGTTGTATTTCCAATACTACCTGAGAAAATGTTGCTCAAGACACCACCCACCCTACCCCAGATCCCCTCTCTGCTCTCTTTAGTAAGATCTGGAGTTGCTGAGTTTGAAGAGAGACACATCAGGTTTAGAGCAATTGAAAAAAAATTGAGAGAAATTAGGTCTATTCATTGTGAGACAGTGCATTTGGTGTGGCACCCACAAAGATCCAACAGATTCTCTTTTTCTTTTGTTTTCCAAGCAGGAATAAACTTTTGTTTTTTGTTACCTTCTGAAACATTACAATTCTATGTCATTAGTCCCTAAATGCACATTTATTTATTCTCTTCACAGGTAGAACCGCCAACTTTGTATATTGATGCTTTGCACCTAGGCGTTTCTGATGTATCTGTGACTCTTTATAAGCATGGATTATGACCAAAGCAACTAATAAATGGTATATATTTACAGTTAGCTAAGGTCTCAGGAAGCATACCTTATATAAGTCAAGTTCATCCTTGTATTTTCGTTAGGTATAAATAAACTTTTATCAGCTCAACTTCTCGGATGGGTGTAGTCATGCAGACCTGACTAATACATTTTTTATAGCAAAAATCATATCCAATAACGGCAAACAAAATTAATTCAGCTCGTCGTTGGGCGGCGCCAAAGGTAGGTCCTTCCCCTCTTTTGTACCCCCCCCCCCACCAATGTGCGCCCTTTTACTTTTCCCTTTCAATTAATGACCTTTTTTTCGTATAATAATATGTACTTCTGCCTATTCAAATTCAAACGTCGACTAATTCAATATCAATGAGGAACACTGTTGAAACCAATTAGAGCAATAAATACTTGTTTGAACCTTTTCTAGTTGACGCGCACTTTTGCCACTTGAAAGAGATTAACACGTTCTTTCCACCCACATACATGAATTTCGAAGCAGGGAATTAAATCAATTAATACTTGTCTTTACCCGGATGACGCAACCATTCACCTTAATTACCTTTAGAGGACGTATATCGCCCAGTTTGGCGTAGAGACTTACCGTAAAGAACTGCCACGCCCGCGTCACTCCGCTGTTGCAGCATGGGCGTGATGAAGCTCCACTGGTTGCTGGCCTTGTCGTGACGTTCTGCGCTGTTGAGCCGGTACACTCCATCGTAACCTCCCACAGCATAGATATGGCCTTTGAGGACTGCAGTTCCCACATAGCATCTGTATAGATAGATAGATAGATAGATAGATAGATAGATAGATAGATAGATAGATAGATAGGAAAGGATAGGGTGAGGGAAGAGACGAAGACGGATGATATAAATTATAAATGGAAACAGTTGTTAGTAATAATGAAAATAATTTCTCATAGGCCTTGTAACACGATTGTAGTTCACGACGTGATAATGTCTCATTTTAACCGAAGCAAAATAGTTTTTTCTTTAATGAGAAGCGGACACTTCATTTCAGTTAGGCCATTCTATGTTAACGTGGATGGGGTGGGGTATATAATACGGTTTCATAGATGGCTCATTTCGTCCAATCCACCACGGACTGCGAATCAACAGCTTTTACATAGGCAAAATGTTTGGCACTCTCAAGAAGGCTTATTGCACAGGCTTTTATTACCTGAAACGTTAGCCGTTTTTCACTGTAAAAACGATGTTCCTTCCTCTTCAAAAGAGATAGCTTACAGATTGTGAAGAACATGCTCGATCTGCAGCACGCTGCAGCTCCGAGGTTTCTCAAAAGTGTGGGTTTACTTTAGACTATCCTTTTCTCTTTTTTCTCTTACCCCCTTTCAATGCAAATTGTAAGATCACGCTGCGGCAGATATGTACCACCAAAAACAGAGAAAAAAAATATAAAAGAAGTTTTTTAAAATCATTTAGCGTAAGGCTTTTGTCTAAATGAGCATAGATGTGCGTTGCTCTTTAGAGTAGTATGTATCTATATAACTCCAAAGGTCCTGTGATTGAATTCCTGCATGTGGTTGAATGATGCATCTGATGTGAATGTACATTTTGTCAGCTTTACTTCTCTTTTCATACTGAATTTTAATGAGAGAAATATATAATTTAATTTTTTTTAAATGTATACCTGCATGTGTTTTTACGGTCCTGTACAGCCAAGAAAAATTTCCCATTGGGATAATAAAGTATTATCTTATCTTATCTTCTTAATGTGGGCGTTTTACGGGCCCCATCAACACGCTAAAGATGTATCTGATTCACAAAACGTTTGAGGGTGTCTTTAAAGCTTTCCTTCTGTCCATAATAAAGCAGCACTACACTTTGCAGCTCCCCACACAATGCTCATTAGGGTCAGATGAACGCTAGAAATACATGATTCATAAGTGGACTTGCTTTCGCTTCAGAATGGTGTGGTTGATGGGAAAGCTGCCTAAAAGAGCACACGTACCGGTGCCTTGCCAATTTCAAGGTTGAGAGCATTCAGGAGTGCTGTTAATGTACTGTCTGCGTTTTTATTTTGCAGATTTAGTAGTGCCTGACGGATGACAACTACATAATAACCTTTTGATGATGGTAGGTAGCACCGACATCAAGGAGAAGGAGCAGCCCACAACATGGTGAGTACCGACGGTCCGTAAGAGATACTGACAGCGAGATCAATAGGAAGATAGGCAGCTAAAAAGGGAGCCTTATATGTTTGATAGGGGAGACAGAGAGCAAGGGAGGGATACACATGGGTGAGTGTGTAGGAGACGAGAAGAGGAAGCAAATTGGGAGAATAGAATTCGGACAGGATTGTACACAGGCTGATTAGGATATTGAGAGAGAGAGGGAGAGAGAGAGAGAGAGAGAGAGAGAGAGAGAGAGAGAGAGAGAGAGAGAGCGTAGAAGGATGTAAATCGTTTCTAACAACCAACAACCAGCGAACTATTCTTTTTCGTGAACCAAGTGAACATAATCAGGGCGAAGCGAAAGAAGTGGTAAAGAGGAAAGCAGCTGAAGATTTCAAGGATTAGTGTATGGTGACATACTCAAGCCTGTTGGACATACAGGAGAAATATGAAGAGTTTAAATCGATTGCTTTAATAGAGAATGATTGTGTCTCTATTGAGGGGTCGCTCGCTATTCCAATGTTAGAAAATCCATTGCTCGGCGAACAAAAAAGGTAAAATCGCTCGCTATTCCAGGGTCCTCCGTACTTTATACTCGTTTTGACCACCCTTTTCTCCTCTCATCCATCTCCTACGTTCTCTCTGTTGCGCCATCTCCTATCTTTCTACTGCTCCCTTTTCACCTCCCAATCCAACTGAATATTACTTTGTCACTTCTCTCTAACGACACATCTTCCACCCACGTATTACCCGCCCACCTCTCTCCCTCTCCCTCTCTCTCTCCCTCTCTCTCTCTCTCTCTCTCTCTTTCTCTCAGTCCCACTCATTCCTCCTCTCCTTCTTTCCCTGCCTCTCATTCTCCCTTCTCTCTGTGTCTCTCCCTCCACCCCCCTCTCTTTTCTCTCTCCTCAGCCATAGTTAAATGCCACCCTGTCTGTATACCTTTACGGTGCATTCGTCGAAGATCTGACAGCATGCAAAAAAACGAAAGCAAACACACACACAC